CGCCTCCTAGGTTCAGGCAATTCTCCTGCCTCAGCCTCCTGAGTAGCTGGGATTACAGGCACGCGCCACCATGCCCAGCTAATAGCTTTTCTTCCTTGTTCAAATCACCTTGTGACACTTCAGTGTCTTTCCTATACTTGTCCTGGGAAGAGTCTTAGTGGAATCATGAGCATTCTAGGATATCAGGAAAGGATCTACCACTTCAGGAAGTGACCCAGTGATGGCCAAAGCTTTACTGAGGCCCCTACTGCATACTTGGCAAGAGGGGTAGGGGGAAGGATAATGAAGAAGGGACAGAGATGGCATGTTGTTTGTCTTCAGGAGGCCTACAGTCTAGGTAGGGGAGCTCTGACTTATAAGGAAGTGGTGGTCAGGGAAGATGGGACTGGAATGAAGTGGTCTGGTGAAAGACTCTCTGAGGCAGCAAGCAAGTGGAACAGGAGGTTCCTTACTAGTACCCCAGGGGAACTGGAGTTGAGGACACCTGGGCCCAGAGGACCAGAAAGCCCAGCTCTCACAGGCTTCTTATTTATCCATAGGCCTTGGAAATGGCGGAGCTGACAGCTCGAATCTCCCAGCTGGAGATGGCCCGACAGAAGAAGGAGAGTGAGGCTGTGGAGTGGCAGCAGAAGGTAAGATACAGGGCCTAGAGCAAAGCATTGAGGGAATGGGTACCATATGCATAGGTTACAGCTTCTTAGATTCCTTATGATTTGGGCTCCCTCCCTCTTTCATACTTCCCATAGCAGGCAGCATGGGAAAAGGCACTCATGGTTTCCTCAGATACTTACTGGAGTTCTCCAGTACCTCTAGGAAGTTGGTATAATTGCTCCTGTTTTATGGCTGAAGAAACTAAGGATCAGGCAGATGAAGTGACTTGTCCTACTCGGTGTCTGCCTCTTGCCAGACTGTTCTAGGTATATATAGGATGCCATAGTTTAAGTGGTCTGATGGTTTTTCTCTCCTATCACTGGACAGGCCCAGATGGTACAGGAAGACTTGGAGAAGACCCGTGCTGAGCTGAAGACGGCCATGAGTACACCTCATGTGGCAGAGCCTGCTGAGAATGAGC